AATTTGCAAATCAATTTGGTCTTCACCAGAGACTCAACTGAATCTCTCCTTAATGATATTCTACAACTGAATGTGCTGCACACAGGCCGCCTCACGATTGAGTTGGCACTATATTCGAGATATCGCAGTATATTTTCATAAAGGAAACTACTCACAAGGTTGCTGAAAATTCTGACAGCCCAGTTGAGTCTCTCGTGGAAACCGAAGTGATTTGCAAATGAGTGTGTTTCTCGAAAACAGTGCAATTTGGGTTCAAGTAGGACACAAGGTTGACGGAAACTCGGAGAATGCGCCTACCTGATGAGCCCAAGAAGGGCGAAACCGGCCGTGGGCTGTGGAAGAGTTTTCAGCAACCTTGTGAGTAGTTTCCTCTATGAAAATTACGGATTATCTATCGGCCCCATGATCCAGTGTTTGACCGATAAAAGTGAGAGTCTCAAGGAAAATGTAAACGTCACAATGCAGCTAGCTAGTATTGAATTAATGGGCTTTCATAGTTGTTCGGGTGCACAATAACTGGTGATGCGGGGTTAAGATAAGCAAAACCGCGATGGATAATGACGCTAACAACATTCAGAAGGATAGCACTGTGATATGAGTCAGAGCCCAGTTAAATGTTAAACTGTGCACACACACACACACACCGGACAGTCAGTGGATGCTAATCGTGGTTACGCTGAATCAGTCAATGGGGAATGAACTAGGTATACGATGATGCAGAAGCCTGTTGAGAGCTGTCAGCCAGCCTACGAACGATAGCACTGTGATGTGAGCCAGCGCCCAGTCAAATGTTAAACTGTGCACACACACAGGACAGTCAGTGGATGCTAATCGTGGTTACGCTGAATCAGTCAGGGGGATTAGTGATAAGACAAAGATAGACAAATTAGAAGCGCATCTCAACGTCACGTTCGAAAACATCAACGCTGATCTATAGGTCCAAACACATTTAGTGCAGCTATTCCCTAGAAATTGATCACTCCAACGAGAGTCTATCAACCTGAAGAGGAGAAAACAGACGGCAGTCCATCTTGTTTGTCCATCAAAAGGTGAAAACCTGACGACATAAATACCAGATAAAAGTCAAATCAATCCGGCGAAAAATACTTGGAACCAGTTGAGTAGTCATCGTTTTCGGAGACGTTTGGTGACAATCTATAGAGTTATTGCTGGGCAACGCTTTTGAAACAAAAGCTTCGTCAGGCCCTGGAGCTTCTGCCCCAAAATAATCCACCCCGTGAAAAGTATCAGGTCCTTACATGTACCATGCAATAACGTGTACTACTGATAAGTCATTCGAGTAGCCTACGGCTAGGTGTCGTAGCTCTGTAACTGCATCTGATGAAAGATGAATTCCACTAAGGAAATTATGGGACCATCTTGAAGTGTTTGGTTAATATTGTGTAACAGTCAGTGAATATCCAGGAAAGCCTAACAGGTCGCATGAGAAAGCCCACCTTTTAAAAAACTCTGTGTATACAAGATGTTTACTTTCGTGTCTAATGGCTTGGAAGTGCTTAGTTCATGTCTGCTGACAAATAACTCCGCAGAGAAGGGTTTTACGTCTATCAGCAGTAGACGTTAAAGGAATGGTTACTCAGAAAGTATCCCCTAGGTTTTTGGGTTTGTAGACGCCTTTAGAGAACTGGTGTTTTGCTAATTTATTACCGCACACGTGGCCCTCAAGTCTTTGTCCGCAGTATTTTATTTCACAATGAGGCACAAATTATTGTTTTTACCCGAAGCAAATGCTTTGCTGTTTTTCCATGTTTTTTACAGTGGAAGGGGTAAACTGGTGCTGAATGGAAGTCCCGTTTACATCAGTTCACTTATTTCGGACGTCTCCTTTGGCGCGCCACACGGGACTCATTTTTTCAGGTGAAGTTTCATCTGAAATGCTCCTGATTGACGATACACTGACGCCAGTAGAAAAGTAATTACTTCCAGAGTTATCGCGTTGTCCGAAACGATAGGAATTATTGATGTAAACCAAAAGAAACTCAAAGTTTATTGTAAAGAGATGCATTCAACGCAATCTGGGAATGCATTGCTTGGACAGCTTCCCTAAACTGTTTCACTGTGAAGATTCACGGATTGCTTCTCTTATTCCATATGTTTATTTGTGGTGGAACAATTAGTGTGGATTGAAGTAAGGGGAAGTCTAGCATAGCGGCCAGAGGTTAGGAATTCCCGTCTACACCATCTAGACTTGAATGAACGATCCATCAAAAATCTTTTAAAGCTCCTAGCGCTGAACAATCTGGTTTTGGTTCTGTCAACTTCCAAATGTATTTTCTTACCAATCTCCGTTAATTGATTCACCGTTGATCTTACCAACCTGTCATAGCACTAAACAAATTCAATTCGCTCGGTTATCGAACACTGTTCAGTTACCTAATGAATCAACGAAGTTGACTACTGATCCGCTCATCCTGTCACCTGCCAAGCTCCAAATTGTTCTCGTATATTGTTCATATTCAACGCAATCTGGGAATGCATTGCTTGGACAGCTTCCCTAAACTGTTTCACTGTGAAGATTCACGGATTGCTTCTCTTATTCCATGTTTATTTGTGGTGGAACAATTAGTGTGGATTGAAGTAAGGGGAAGTCTAGCACAGCGGCCAGAGGTTAGGAATTCCTGTCTACACCATCTAGACTTGAATGAACGATCCATCAAATATCTTTTAAAGCTCCTAGCGCTGAACAATCTGGTTTTGGTTCTGTCAACTTCCAAATGCATTTTCTTTACCAATCTCGTTAATTGATTCACCGTTGATCTTACCAACCTGTCATAGCACTAAACAAATTCAATTCGCTCGGTTATCGAACACTGTTCAGTTACCTAATGAATCAGCGAAGTTGAC